GAGCTTCCACTCCTTTCAACATTTTCTTCTCTGATTAAAAGTCTCATTTGGGTTTTTTTTGGATCCGACCATTTTGGTGCTTCTAAAAAAATTTTGAGATCTTTTGTAGTTTTGTTTTGCTCTGCTTCTTTTCATGAATGCCTTGTCCTCTGTGGCTACCAGGGTGTTACATCTGCTCTTTAGTGGTGTGCCAGAGTTGTTTTTGGATAGACGATAATGAATGTTAGTGCTCGCCAGCTTAATGGTCTTTATTGGCAACTAGGAGACCTGATGTTCTTCTTACTTGGTGGTGGTTTAGTTTTGTAGAGCGTCCCTAATACTCTTAGGGGCTGTTTGGTATGCAGCATTAGGTGGGTAAAGTAAAATATTTACAGGTATTTGTTAAATGAGACTGTTTGGTTCATTTTGAGTGGAACAAAAGGAAAACGTCGGAGGAATTAGCAGTGTATTAATAGAGGTATTTAGGCGAAAAAGAAACCCGCTCAAATTGAGCGGGTTATGAATTCTCTGCATTCATCGTCTTCGATGTTCGGCTTCATTGCTTCGCAGGTGTAAGATTGCACAAGTGGCTTCTTCGGCTCCTTCGTTCTCGTTCGACTTAGCTCCTTCGACGATGTTCCCTTTGCCGTCCCAAACGTCCCCTTCCCCAATACCTACGCTGAAGCCCGCAGCAAATCCTCCAAATCAAACTCTGGTGCTCCCACATTCACCAAAAACATCAATCTCTTCCCCATCTCTGGTTTCTTTAACACCGCCTCCGGCCGTTTCGCAACCATGGCCGCCGCCTCCCGTGGCCTAGCCTTACTCCCGCGGTGCAAGAACACAAAAAGAATCAGTACTATAACTAATAACGCCTTCGAACCAACCACGATTTCGACGATGGCGCCGCTGGAGAGCTTACTCCCCCCTCCACCTCCCGCAACCTCTGGAACTGTTATCGGTGAGATCCCATTGGGGCATGGAGGTAGCGAACCACCGCAGAGCGAGGTCCTTTAAAAGCGCTATATGGCATCTTTCAAAGCTTAGAAGGCACGGAGCCATTCAGCCGGTTATAGGAGACATTGAACTGCTCCAGTTTCATGGCGGGGAGGAGGACAGAGTTTGGAAGGAGAATGAGAATTATTTGGCCAGGTAAGATTCCGATTTCATGGAGTCCTGAGGCCATGCGATCGACAATGGAGCAGAGTTCTTTGTAAGAGATGGAAAATCCTGATGACGAGTCGATGAGGGTTGTTTGACCGCGGTAAGGCCTGGAGAAGAGAAAGGAGGAAAGGTCATGAAATGCGTCTTGAGGAAGGGATTTTTAGGGGTGCTTGCTGATGTAGATTCCAGTTTCTGTGGAGAATCAGTTTAGAATATCGAAGATGGAGAAACTTTGGCGGCCGGAGAGAGCTCCCTCCATGGGAGAGAAGTAAAGGTGGCCTTTTTGTTTCTTTGGTGCTAACTGCAACTAATAATTTATTGACAGGCAAGCATGCTCTGAGAGAGAGTGAGAGAGAAGGTTTCTTCCCTATCTTTCTGAGAGAGATCTGTTCCAATTGGACGATTTAAAATAGGAAACACCAATGAGAATGAGATACTGGTTCATTTTTTCGCAAGCTAGAAAAAATCGAGCAGGCTCATGGGAGATCCTTCAATAGCTTGGGAGACAATAATAGTCGTAATTCACGATTTATGGATGGTCAAGGTGAAGGTTTTGATACACTCTCACATGGTTTGGATTCAAAATTGAAGAAAGCAGCTAATACTTTTGCTTTTACTGATGAGATTAAGGATGATGATTATAAGGTTATGCACTCTCAGTAGCCGTTATAGTCTTGCTGTTTGGAGCTTTGATAAGTTGAAATTGGTCAAAATATGTAGCAAGATGGAAGGGGATTGATTTTAGTATAAAATAAATAATTTTTTTTAAAATAATAAATGTATTTAAACCTTTAAAACTCCTAAAAATGGAATTAAGCTTGATATATTTAAATTAATTGAAAGTAAATCTAACTTAACCTCGATTTGGCTTAAATTAAAATTGAATTAAATAAAAAAATTATAACAACAAATAATACAATATTTAATAACACTGCCTATATAAATATACTTATTTTATAGCCAAAATAAATTTATTTTAAAAAAATGCTTTAATTTAAACTCGATATTACCTAACCAAACAGAGAAACAATTTCTCTCGTTTATTTTGCCAGAAATCAAAACAGAAACTCAAAGTATTCAAAATACATTACATTACTTACATTGCATTTACTTACAGCATTTCTTTCCAGACAACCAAACAGCCCCTTATCCCTCCTACGAATTTTGGGTTATTTTTCGACCCTCAAACTTCTAATTTTTTTTTGGTTATAATTGTTAAGCCTTTTCTTTTCAACTTAATAGAATGGGCTAAATTGCTTCCAAAATTTTTTCAATAAATTAGCGATGAAAAAAAAAAAAAACTGTGTCAGAAATCAAAACAAGAAAAGTGCAGTTAGCCTCGCCGCGTTTACCTGTTTGTCTGGCATGAACCCCCGCACAAGTACAAAACAATTTAAAGCCTGCAAAGCCAAACTCACCCCGGACACCGGACCATTTATTCACCAACCTACCACGCGCTTGTACATCGTTATTTCAAAAAAATATTTAGCGAGTTCCTAAAAAAGTTACATATAAAGTAACCCACATTGAATATACGATTGAATTTATTCCCCCACAAAAAAAAAAAAGAAATCATGATTAAAATTATACAATGAATTCACGATTTATTATTAAATTTAAAATGTAATAAAATTTTATAACAAGTTGATATAATTAATTCTCAAACGACCAGGTGATCTAAATTACACATGGTGCAGCTTTAAGTGTAAAATTTTAAGAGATCCCAATTTCAAGTAGAATACGTAAAAAAGCAGCAATATTAGTCTCACTGGATGTTAAGAGTAAAGTTCGTTTTAGTCAAAAATAGGAAAAAAATGCAAATACCGAGTTTTTTGAAAAACTCAGTTATTTTTTCAAAAAAACTCTCAGTATTTACACTTTTAGGCAAACCAACCTTCCTCTAGTCCTGCACCGGGACCCAATGTAAAAAACTCACATTAAAAAAACGGCTAAATTTAATATCCAGTCTACTTTTTATCAGAAAATTCTTGCCTATTAGGCTTGTAGTTCACTTTACATTTCATTTGGATAAATTTAATATTAAAATAAACCGATTCTAAAAAAAAAATCATTCAAATAAACCTTATGTCATAGTATTCTAAAATACTATATAATAGAGAGGAAAAGAAAAGAAAGAAAAAAAATCTTTCTAGTTTGTTAACTTTAATAATAAAATTTATTGTTTAGAGTTGTTTTAAGTTCCTTAAATATGGACAAAAATAAACATAAATATGCCAAAATTTAATAAAAAAATAAATAAATATTACAGGAGCGAACCAACCTTAATTCTTTGAGAGCAGTGAAAAATTTTAAAATAATATTAAAAAAATATTAAACTGCGATAAAAATTTATTAGCACACTAATTGCTTTTCAAAAATTTGGTTTTTTAATGTTAAAAAAAATCAACTAAATGGAATTTGAAAATAACGGGAGGCCAAGAGATGCTGATATTTGAAGGATAAAATGCATGAAAAAAAATTCGGCTATAGAAAAAAATTAAAGAGTAAAATTTTTAAATCATATCATTAATAATTTAATTAACTATTAAACTTATAATTATTTAGAATTATTTTTTTATTTGATGTGTCAAAAAATTTTACAATTAATTTATCATAATCAATTTAAATAGATTTAAAAAAAATTTATTCATAATTCATTATTATCATTTTAAATTTATTATTTTAAGGAAATAATATATAAAATATATATATATATAATATATGTATATATTTATTTTTCATTAATTTATTTATTTTTTTTAAATTATGTTACTTTCTAAATTTATTGAAAAAAATAAAATAAATATTTATTTTAAATATTATTTCTTTGGAACAAAATAAATTTAAAAAATGAATAAAATATTATGAATAAAAAATGTATTTTTAAATTTTATGATAAATTAAATTGTGAAATTTTAGACACTTAACTTATTAAAAAATTTCATTCTAAATTATTTATTAAAAAATAAGAAAAAATAGTTACATTGAATATTTTAATAAAAAATAAAAAAAATGTGATGTACCTATCTCTAACATTTTTCATTGAATATTTTTGATTCTCTTCCGTTCATTGGGCAACTTTGGTTAATTTTAAATTTATTTATTTTGTTAATTTAATAGTTAATTAAATTCTGAGCCATATTTATATTAAAAATTTATCCAAAAAAATTCTAGTGGGACATATTACAAATTATTCTTATTATATTAAGAATTTTAATATTTTTCTAAGGGGGCAATTAACCCGCCCCTGCACAATTATCATTCTATATATTAAATGAATTAATATTGCATCGCCCCTTCCAAAGAGAAGAACCGTTCTTATAATTTGAAAATGTTAGAAATGTAAAAAGATAAAAAAAAAATAACAATTTAGTTTTAATGACTTCCACGTCTCTTAAATCTATTTAGACTTAAATAATATAGATTTTAATAGATTATTTATATATTATATTATTATAAATAGACTTGATGATTTTAAAAATCATTTATCATGAATTTTTTTTTTTTTAAGAAGAAAAAAAAAAAAAAAAAGAGTAAAACCTTTCACATTCTTTTAATTCAAAAATTATTCCGTGCGACGTGTGTCCCGATTCCCGATTGAATCGTGCCGAATTGACCTCTGAACATGTCATAATATAATATCTCCTTTAATCTACTTAAAATAAAACTTACAATTTATGAATTTACCCAAAAAAAAAGTAACACACAACTCTCCATGGCCTATTGGTTTGAGAGCTAGGTTCCAACTAAGAGGTCCAGGATTCGACTCTATGTGTATTGCGTGGGTTTGAGTTTTGCCTTTAATGCCTAAATGTCTCAAAAAAAAAAAAAAAAAAAAAAAAAAAAAAAAAATAATGAACTGGAAATAAATTAAAATAGAAATCAAATAAAGCTAAACATGAAAGGTACATAAAAACCGCATAAACTTTAAAATCCTATCACCAATTACGATCTGTTTCCCGATCAAAACCCTAAAAGTTTTATCAAAGCGGCCGAGAAAAAAAGGGAGAATAGAAAAAATTCCATCTCCTTCTATTCTCATTCGAATTAAACAGAACAGCAGAAACGAGCTAGCAATCAATCAAAACAGGGACTGGATAGAAAGGCTGAAACTTAAACTCTATCTTAGAACCAGCAATCAAGATGAAGATTTGTCAATTGTCATCCCCGTCAATAGGTTTCCGGCAAAGGATCATATGCATAGGAGTGAAGATTCCCATCTCACCTCCGCGAGTAAGGTGCCTCGCCGTCTCGTACAGCATCTCGTGAACCTCGACCACGCCCTTTGGCGCGATCCGTAGGATCGTTAAAATCGAAACCAGAATATGATTCCTCCAATAAGCAAGTCTCCCCATCTTGAGCCGGTTCCACCATGGCCCCGCTGGTGGCAGCGCGAGATCTCGCTCTTCAATCACCTCAAACCCTACCCTCCTAGCCACCTCTGCAATCTGATCCTGCGATCTTAACCCCGGAAGAGCGTCTCCTCTCTCGATTCCATGGATCGCTTCAACGTGCTCCGGATCGCCAGCCCTGTAAAGCCCGGTTGTAACCCATTCGTAAGAAACATACATAGCTCCAGGCTTCAACACACGGTAGATTTCCGCATACACATCCTCAAGCCGCGGCGCGTGGCATGTTGCCTCGATCGAATACGCGCCATCGAAAGCCGAATCGCCGAAGGGCATCTGCAAGAAATTCCCGCAAACTACCTCGCATGCCCCATCGAGCCCCGCCTTGCGATTATGCGCGCGGGCACGACCGACCTGGTACTCATTGATGGTGATCCCGACGACATCAGAGCCCGATCGAGCCGCGATGGCTCGCATCGGGCCGCCTACGCCACACCCAACGTCGAGGATCCGGTTTCCGGGTCGGGCATTGATGAGATCAACCACGCGTTCTTCGTGGATGCGGGTGGCGTCGCGGTGGGATCGGCCGGGGAGAGAAGGGGAGAAGTGGAAGGACTGGCCCCAGCCCCACTCGTAGATATCGGTGACGAGATTGTAGAACGTGTCGACGAAGGCTGGGACGTTCTCCGATGAGTTTAGGGTTTCAATTGGTAGCCGGAAGAAAGACCAATACTGCTTGTACTTGTCTTGTACTTTGTCTCTCCTGATCGATCCCATCTTTAAATCAACGGCGCGCTTTCCTTTGACCTCGGCGGAGCCCATGATGCAAACGAACCAGAAGAAAACGGCAGCCGTGACCGCCGCAACAGACCACATCAGTGCCGCCGACTCCATGATGATTTGGAAGGGAAGGGAGGGACGATAGAAGCGATATTAGATTGTAATTTTTAGTGGTTGGGGCGGGCGGATTGGAGGTGGTGAGATCGATTGGCGGAGCTTTAAACCGGTTGGATGCATTAACTCGCTGTGACTAAAGCTTAGTATAAAAAATTATGAATTAAAAATTTTTATATTAAAAAAATTATTTTAAAAAGTAATAATAAAATTATCTCAAATAAAATCTCAATAAGGATGTCAACATATGGATCAAATAAAATAGGTTTTGGCTGAACAGGAATTAGTTGAAGAGAGAGAAGCTTCCGTTTTCTTGAGAGAGAATCACTTTTTTTTTTTAAATTTTCCCTTCCCATCATCGTTAACGGATCTTCCACTGATGGTGGGAAATCCATCGGCGGATGATTCTGGTCGCCGGAATCCTCTTGATATGAATGTATTGGATTCGAATGTAGTAGATTTGCAATATGTTCATAAGAAGAGTGTCAAATATGGATGCTTGGTGATTAAAGAACCTGATTTGGCTGGTGCGAATATTATTTCTCCTGTTAATGGTAAAGGTAAACAAGTTGTTGATGGATTGAATTTTAAAACTCCCCTTTCTATTGGTAGTATCTCTTTGATGAGTAGAAAGAATGACTTTGAAGCTTCATCATCGGCAGATATGAACGTGTTTGTCAATAGTTGGTATTGTGAGTGGTAAAGAAATCTCATGATGTGAATGTTGCAGATGGACTGTTAGGTGCTCGTAGAAAAGCTCAAGTAAATGTTATTGAAGGAAAATCGTCCCTGCAATATAAAGTTGGTATAGAGGCTCCTGGTAATCCTTGGAGATGTCCAAACATTAAAGTCAATTTCAACAAAATTGATTCAATTTTAATAGAGGATAGTGCAACTATTAAACTGCATGAACCTAGTGTGGAAGCCAATTTTGAAAGATTAAAGTTTTCTGTGGTAGTGAAGATATTTGGAAAGAATATTCCAGGTCATGTCATTGCTGAAGAATTACGAAGGCAATGGATGCAGTTTGGTAAGTTCCACCTAACAATTCTGGGGTTAGGCTGGGTCTTATGTTCATTTTTTTCGGCCGAGGCAATTGAGAATGTATTATCAGGTGGTTCATGGTTTGTGAGCGGACATATAGTGGGCATAGATAAGTGGACTTCAGAGTTTTCAACGACTTCTTTAAAGGGATTGACTTCTCTGATCTAGGTAAGAATGTCGCATTTACCTCTTCATTGCTAGATGAAGCTAATGTGGCAAGGATCACTTCTATAGTAGGAACTCCACTGTTGATAGATGAAAATATGTTCCAATGGGGAAGATGAGAATATGCAAGGGTTTGTGTTCATCTTGCAATTGATAAGAAGCTCCCCTTAGGTGTTGGGGTAGAAGGAAGTGTAGGTCGGTTTTTCCAAAAACTAGAGTATGAAAAAATTTCAACATTTTGTTTTAAGTTTAGGATAATAGGTAATATGATCAATGAATGCATAACAAATATTTGATGTTGTTGGTAATGATTTGGAACATGTTGATCCGGTCATTCAGAAGTCTGAAGATCAGTTGGTAAAGAATCTGGATATTCCTAAGGATGTTGCAGGTATGGATTCCTTTAATGTGAATCTAATAATTCCTATAGATGTTAATATGTTTAAACTATTGGATAATGAGAATGATGATGAAAGTATTAAGAATAAAGTAGATCTTCTGGACTATAATTTAATTGACAAAGAAGATGGGGAATTGGTTGAAGATGGGAAAGAACACGTGGATTCACCGAATACGATGGAGGAGGTTAATTTTAATGTAATTAAGTTTAAATTACCAAAACTGCTTAAATCGTTGGGTAATGTTGGTTTGCTGTCTTAGAGTAGAAAAAGTAATTTGGTGAAGAAGAAGGTTAGTGGGACTAATCCCACTTTCATTCTTAAATGACTTACATTATTTTTTTGGAATTGTAGGGGGCTAGGAAGAGTGAAGCCTCCCATTACTTGAAGGAGATTGTGAAAGATTATGATTATCTTTTTGTTGGCCTTGTTTAAACAAAAATTTCTTTGATAGATGGTTTGAAATTCAAAAGATTTATTAGAGACAAGTGGGACTTCTTCATTTTTCCTGCAGAGGGGTTATCTGGTGGTATTATGATTTTTTGGAGATCGGATGTTGCTTCATTTTCAGTTATTGAAAGAACTTCTTAAGTAGTTATGGGTGAACTTAGTATTGCCAACAAAGTTATATGGTTCATAGCCACAGTTTATGGGAGTACGGATTATTATAAGAGAAGATGCTTGTGGAGCAACTTGGAGTCAATCTTGGGTAGGAAAATTCCGACTGTGATTGAAGGTGACTTTAATTGCATCCTATCTAAAGATGATAAGAGAGGAGGTAAAAAGTTTGTTCTTTCTCAAGGGCCTCAAGATATATACTCTTTTATGAGAAATTTTGATTTTCATGAGGTAGAATTTTTTGGTACAAAATATACTTGGTGTAACAATAAGCGTGGAGGAGCTAGAATTTTAGAAAGAATGGATCAGTGTATCCTTAATTCTACTATAGTAAATAATTTAAAGTTGCCGGTTGTGTGACATTTGGCTAGTGTGGCTTCTGATCATTGCCCTATTTTGCTTAAAAATCATTCTACTGGAATTCAAAGTAGGAAAACACTAATATTTGAAGATCATATATAGCTTCTTATTTAGTCATTTTTCACTCTTGGAGGAAACTGTTACATGGAAATGCTACAGATATTCTGAACAAAACATTTAATAGATCTCTTATGGCTTAATTCTTTTGGAGTAATGCTAAACTTAAGAATTTATATGATTTGAAGGAAATTCTCAAAAAAGAAAATTTTCAATTACAAGAGGAAGAGGATAACGTAGGAGGACTTTTGGACAAAAGTTTATTTTTGTTGAAAACCAAGGTTAATGAACTCAATTCAACACTTGCATGGATTACTACCTGGTGGAAGCAGAGAGCAAAAGTGCAATGGATTGAGGATGGTGTCTCGAATTCAAAATTCTTTCATGCTTATGCAACAGCTAGAAGAAATGGGAATTGGATCTATAAAGTAAAGGATAATAACAGTTTGTTGATTAAATACAAAGGTAGTAAGGAAGAAATATTCTTAGATTTTTTTTAAAACCAAGTGGAGGGAACGTAAATGCCTTTTGAGAGGTTGGCCGTCTCATTTGATGAGAATTGATGAAGGTGATAGAATGAAGCTTGAAAAGGAATTCTCAAGGATGATCTGGAGATTATCATTCATCAATTGGAGCCTAATAAATCACCATGTAATGATGGAATAACTTATTTTTTTAATGAAATATTATTTTTCTGTTATTAAAGATGATGTGTGGGCAGCTATTTTTTCATTTTTAATCTCTGGTATTATGTGTCAAGAGTGGAAGGAGACTAATGTGGAGTTGATTTCGAAGATGAAAAATCCTTTGACACTTGCTAATTATTATCCTATAAGCTTGTGCAAATATATTTATAAGAATGTGGCAAGAATGTTATTAAATAAGATGAGTTATTGTTCCCTAAAATTATTTCTAAAGTTCAATATGTATTTGTGAAAGGTCTGTATTTGTCTGATCAAATATTACTTGCTCAAGAGTTATTTAATAAATTTAGATATTCTAAATTTAAAAAGTGATTGTTAAGATTGATATGGAGTAAGCGTATGATAGCATTGGGTGGTCTACTCTTAATCAAGTTCTTGATTGTTTTGGCTTTTCAAGGAAGTTCTCAAATCTTATAATGGAATGTGTGGTGAATCCTAAGTTCTCTATCATGATTAATGGTGTTAATTCTGAATGGATTGAGGAAAAAAGTCGATTTAGGTAAGGGTGTCCTCTTTCCCCTTATCTTTTTATCTTATGCTCCCAATTGTTAACTGATGCTTTTGTTTAAAGAGGTAGAATTGTTGGTATTAAGGCGACTCTGAATGCTCCAAAGATTTCTCATTTATTGTTTGTAGATGATATAGTTGTCTTTTCTAAAGCCAATGATAAGAGCACGAAGAAAGTGAAGGGCATTCTTACCGATTATTGTAGATGGATTGGACAAAAAATCAATTTGTTGAAATCTTCTATTCTCTTTGGGAAATCAGTTAGAAAGAGGAAAGTGAGATCTCTTTCAAAGGTGATGGTTTTCAAGGTAGTAAATGAAATGGATTACTTGGGAGTTAAATTTGTGTTAAGAAGACTTGTGTTTTTAGATTTACAAAAATTGTTAGTGAAAGTTGCTAATAGATTGAATATTTGGGGAAACAAATTTAATTCTCTTGCTGGGAAGTTACTTCTTCTTAATTTTTTATTTCGTTCACTATCAATTTTTTTAACAGCTCATTCATTAGTTCCTTTGGGGGTTCTGAATGAAATTGATAAGATGTCTAGAAGTTTTTTATGGCATAAGAATGATGGTAGGTATGGCCTTCATTATATTGCTTGGGATGTTTTGCGTAAGCCTAAAAAAAATGGTGGTTGGGGTGTGCAATCGATTGTGGAAAAAGTAGGTCTTTTGTGGGTCAAATTTGCTTGGAACTTCATTTCACATCCTAATTCTCTTCTCAACAAAAACACGGGTTTCTAAATATGGGTATGATGTGTGGAATGCTGAATGTAAAAGTCTTTTTTCGGCTTCATGGAAAATTATTCTGAATGGTGCTATGTATCTTCATCCAATTATGAGATGGAATGTATTTATTGGTGCTGAAATAAATAATTTTAAAGAAACATTGATTTTTGACAACAAAAGTTTAGATAGATGGCCTACTTTTGTAACAAATGAAACTCAAGAAATGAAATATCTTTCAGGATTTATCACTAACAGAAACTGGGATGTTAGTAAGCTGAAGGAAGTTTTTGGCCAGCAGCTGGTGGAGACTATTCTTGCTATTCCTATTCATTAAGATGTGGCTAAAGATCAGTTGGAGCTGCTTGTTAAATGTTCGTGTAAATCAATCTCTGCGATAGCATTTGAAAAATTGTATGAAGATAACTTTGAGCATAAAGATTAAAGATGGATGAAAAAGTTGAAATTAAGGCCTCGTATTGACTTGTTTTGGTGGTGTTTAAAGATGAATGCAATCCCTCCAATACAGGAA